TTATACATATTCCGAAAATGGAGTACTGGTGTCATATTTGGGCGGGAGCTGACCAGTCCTCACTTCTCCGTTTCGACGTGGTGTAAAGGTTAGCAAGCTTGTCTTGCTAGATCAGTTACTACTGAAAACTGAGTTCGATCCTCACTGGATGCCCCATACTTTTGGCCTAGTGCCACATCTAAGCTTCACTTGGAAAATCTTTCCTTGGCAAAAATATTTGTTAAGTAACAGTCTAACTCTCTGCTCTTGGGTGGAGAGGAACCCGGACGAGGCTTCGCCGAAGGGCAGAGTCTCTTTCGGGGTGGTTGACTGCCCCTGAACCCGCTTATGCGGTTTTAAAGAGGGAATATTTTTGGCTGAGCCTACGGGCTCGGAAATCCCACGTTAAACCCGGCCTTGTGCCATATGTAACCCTCGTGGGGGGGGGCGCTAAATATCACTTCTCCGTTTCGATAGCATTCAAAGGCGTCTCCGAGTCCTTCTGGTTGGCGAATCATTTTCCATCGTCTAACCTCTCTCACAAAGGCGATATGTGGCAGGCCTTTCACTGCTCTGTCGCTACTTCCATGGAAAGTGATCGGACAAACTACATGCCTTAGTTCTACCAGTCCTAACCTTCAGGGCTAAGACACACCATACCATTTACATTGTAGCAAACCACCCACATTCCACCCGCTTTCAATCGGTAAGAAGTTCCACTCGAAAAGCTTCGTCTCGTCCATCACTACTCTGTGGAAGCAACTCCCAAGAGAATGTTTCCCCGATCACTACAATCATAACCTTTTCAAGTTTAGGGTTAACCGTTATCTTCCTTTTCTATCCGTATAAACTGCCTCTTAACGTAAACCTCTACATCGAGTGGCCCTAGGCCTTGTACAACATGAACCTTACGGTAAAAAAAAATATTGTTGTTTAAAGTTTGCTATGTTTATGTCGGAATGCTCAATTCAGTAGATAGCGTGTTTATACAAATCAACACTGCATAGTGAACAGGGTTTCACGCCTTAAATGCTCATAAGACCACAAGTTACTATCTGGGTAGTCATATATATATATATATATATATATATATATATATATATATATTGTCATCCACAGACAAATTGTATCACAGCTCATCAGTGTAGTTAGACGTCCGGTTGCCTCTAGGTAGGATCGAAACCCAGCCGAATTGGCGTCAGTCAATTAGGAGATTCTACCCCTAAACAGTTGGCGCACGGCAGGAATGAAGATGAATTTAAGCGTATTTAGTGACTGAGAGAACTTGATTTGTTTTACCGAAGAGACTTGCATTATTAGAGGTAATAGTCAATGTTTACAAACTCATACTGAGTGAGTTCAACTGAAATAAATTTTTCAGGGGCATATATATTGTCATCCACAGACAGACTGTTTCGCTCATCAGTGTGGCTAGACGTCCGGTTGCCTCTAGCTAGGATCGAAACCCAGCTGAATTCTACCCCTATATATATATATATATATAGGGATTATCAAGAATATATTAGATATATATATATTATATATATATATATATATATATATATATATATATATATATATATATATATATATATATATATATATATGTGTGTGTGTGTGTGTAAAAAAGTTTTCTTAAAAAAAGAACTGAGAAGGCATGTCTGTTTAATTGTTAGTCTGTTTTTCCAATTTCGAATTAGTTGTTGAGTATTGTGATCAAAATTAATCCACCATTTTCATCATACTAAGCAACAACTTATTCTAAAATTGGAAAATACAATAAAAAATTAAACAGATATTGCCAGTTCTTTTTAAATAAACATGTTTCGATGAATACTCGCTGTCTAAATATACCTTGTGTGTGTGTGTGTGTGTGTGTGTGTGTGTGTGTGTGTGTGTGTGTGTGTGTGTGTGTGTGTGTGTGAGACAGACTCAAGGTCAGGACAAGAAGTAGTCTAAAATCCTTATCCCTAAACAAACAGGGAAAAAACTCTCTCCTCACTTCCCTAAGTCCTTGGTATATAGCTCACACGAAGAGGAGTAACATATGGTCTGATGATGAAGTATAGACGTGTTAAACATCATCTTCTTTTCAAAACCCGATCTACATCTTGACGCTTATTTTCTTAAGATATTTCTCTTAACGTGTTTTTTTTTATCAACAAATCTTTCATGAAAAGTAGACATGAGAATTCCTAAGAAACACTTTAGATAGACTATTATTGATTAATACCTAGCTTCATATTTCAGGGGTAAATCGAAGTGGGAAGATCATTATGCGCCAAGCGTTCATATAGTAAAAACTTACAATGAAAAAAACACTGAAACTTTGCGTTTTGCCTGAATTCGAATAGTGACCTCAAGTCAGATCACAATCTAGACTTTTGTGTATATTTAACTTTTCGGTTTAACTCCTAATTTTATTTTACATTCCTGGTTTCTGAATCTGATCTGTCTTTCGCCTATTGCTCATTTTTTTTTCTAAGGGATGTGCCGCTAGCGTAACGGTTATCGGCCCTGAAAATGGAATCGGTGAGCCGATTTCAACTCCTCGATTAGTCTGTTGCATTCACTTGCGCACAAATGTCCTTGCGAAAGACATGACTCCGTGTGCAACTATGAGTTAAATTCAAGTCAAATAGCACTCATCCTTGAGTGACGACCAGTCTAGGAGAAAGATTATGAATTACAAATCATAAGAACGCAAGAAATATAAACATCCGAATATCTTTCTCAATAAATTATGACAATTCAGGCTTATTAAAAAGGAACCTGTGAAGAGCCGTGACCGCCCATGTCTTGAATTGATATGGCATTTAAAAACGTTGTTTTTATAGGGTAAAGGTAAAAGCTTCGGTGTCTAATTTTATCTATAGTTATGGGGAGAGTGTATTCCGCCCCTAAATTTAAATTCAGTTGATTTTCTTTTAAAATGTTTGCCAACCAAATTTAGAAAGAACAGTCTACTTTAATATTTTACGTTTACTAGGTACGGTGGAGTAATGGATAGTGGCTCGGATTGAGGAATTGGAGAGCTGAGTTCGAATTCCAGTAAAATCCATTACATTCACTTACGTGCTAATACCCTTGGGAAAGGTATGAATCCTCCTCTTCTTCAGCCCCAGCTATGGGTAAATAGCAGGACAGAACGGGTTCTATAACAGTGGATAGCAACTGGTCTACCGCAGAAAGAAATGGCAACCTACTGTGGGAAAAAAAAATCTGCCTCGTCAGTCATGTATCAAAAGATACATGATCGCCTAAGCGTCTATCATGTATGGCACATAACTGACTGACTGACTGAGGTTAATTTACCGAACGACTAACCCATTTCTTTTACATATATAACTAAGCGGTTGCCAACTAATTTAGAGAAGTTGAAATGAAGACACAAGAACATAAAAGCTAACTGGTCTTAAAAATAGATCAATAACTAAACTACAATCCATAATAAATAACTTACAATCCTTTAAGACTATGACATGGGATTTAATCCTTTGGGCGCTGACCATCGCTTTACCAAGTAGAGTAGAGAAAATGATTTAATACCCAGCCACTGGTTGAACGGTGAGTAAACACTTGTAGCTATTTTTATATCTACCGTGAAACAATACATACCAATTATTTGCGAAATTTGACTCAGGATCTCAGGCGGAAGGGTTACAATTGTTCAGTAAGGCGGGGTTCAAAGGGTTAATCTACTCAATTCAGTTGTGCTGGTATAATAGTTTTACGAAGGGTCAACAAAAACCTACGCTTAACTCAGACATCTGCCTAACAGAAGCAAACTCCAATTTGTAATTAAAGAAAACACTTCGCAGTAAATATTATTCAATATTTTTCAGTAATCTTTTTTTAATGTGCCATAACGTTTCCAGACATGGGCGATCATGGTCCTGTCTTTTTTTTTTTTTTTTTGCTAGCAATCTCTACCTTGTCATCCATTCTGCTTCTCTTGCTTTCATTATGCCCTATAGGTGTTAAGTTCTCTATGCTCTCTTTCCTCATTATCTATAACAGAAATGACAGCTGCCTCTTTCTGATTGTTAGTATATACTTTCTTGTTTCTACGTTTATAAAACTTTCTGTCGCTCCAGTACTCTCCGTTTGTAAGGATTTAGTTCAATTTTCACTGACACGTACATGATTAGATACAGTGTAACCCGGATATAAGAGAGAGTTTATCTGGTCCCAAATTAGAGCCTGTGTTAATGTATATAGAATAGACCAAACCCGGATATAAGAGAAACCCGGATATAAGAGATTTCTTATCCGGTCCCGACAACTCTCTTATATCCGGGTTTACACTGTGTTACATAAAGCTTCTATATTGTTTCCTTTGCTTCTAACGATATTTTCCAATTTCTTAATACTTTACTAGTTCTTTGAAAGGCATCTTTCTGCATTTCTATGTACCTTCGGATTGCTATGTCACATATTCCGTCGCTTATTACAACACTAACCAGATAATCTTTTTTTACATGTTTGATTTTAACACCCCTAATATGTAACTTACACTTTGTTCTGTCTCTTTTGCTGACGAATAGGCATTTTGTCTTTTTAAATTTTCTTCTTTTTCTTGCTTCACGATAATAACAATTTGTTATATGATTAATGCGATTTTCAAGCAAGCAGTTCCACTGTATATCGACTATTTCAAAAATTATATTCGTTGGTTATCATTACTTGGCTAACAAGCAATAGTGTGAAGGTTTGTTAATCTAAAACTTTTTATCTTAAACATTCTTGCTGGACAAGGTTTTATATATAAAGTAGACACAGACCGATTTATATAATCAAGTTTTCTGTCTTTAAATTATATCACAAGCTATTTTTAGGAAATGCATGAAGTAAAAAATAGCTTATCAGAGATACAACTTCGTGCCAGATTTTCGTATCTAGTTGCAACGATCCGTATTACAGTCACTCCTCATTTATCTGCTGGGTTCCGCCCCAATGTTCTGCTCGCTAAACGAGAAATTATATCTGACCGTCTTCCAGGCATACTACGTTTGAAGAGCTTACGGCCACATCACGTTGGAACACCGATTCCCGGACAATCACCGAAGTTAAGCAACATCAAGCCAGATCAGTACCTAGATGGGTGATCGCTTGGTAATACCAGGTGCTGTAAGCCTAGATGTTTGGGTGGGGTTTGGTTTAGTTTATTTCGTTTTACGGATTATCAACCTCAATGGGTTATTTAATGCCGACAAAATTTTCATTGTTGGTAATATTCTTTTCCAAAAATCTATTTCTGGTAATATTTTTTCCTTCAAAAAAATCTTTCTGTTAATATATTTTCCTTCAAAAATCTATTTCTGGTAATAATTTTCCATCGCTGGTAATATTTGTTTTACAAAATGTATAGCTGGTAATATTTTTTTAAAATGTATTACTGGTATTTTTTTTTATAACGTATTTCTGGGATTAACACATATTTTTACACTTTCATAGTGTTTTGACCCCAGTTTGGGGGTTAACTATTTGCCCATAGCTGTGACCCTAACAGGTACTACCTGGGAACACTAGCAATTAAGAGGTGGTTCCACGCTCCTCAAAACCTCATCAGAGTCCTTGCTATTGGACGTAGTTTATCGTCTTACCCAGAATGCAGATGTAGTTTATCGTCATACCCAGGACGATTTGGGTGGCTTAATGAATAATGGCTCAGAATTGTTAATCGGAGAGCCGTGTTCCACTTCCAGCTAGGTTTTTTATATTCACTTTTCGCGCAAATCCCCTTGGAAAAAGGGCATGAATACTCCTCTTATTTCCCCAGCTATGGGCTAATTAGTTAGACTTGTATCACTAAATCATTATTATCTCCAAAAAAATAATAAAATAAAAATTACCCATAAAATATTTAGATTTTGGCATTAACTAACCAAGAGAAATGTTGACATGCCGCTAAACAAAAAACAATAAAATCAACTACGCTTTGTAATGGGTTTGTGCCAACCAGATTCAGATAGCTTTAATGTCACCCGTAACGTTTCTACTGAACAGCTCTGTATTCTGCACATTATTGCATTTGACAATCAACAAATACAGTTCAAGCGCATTTTTATTTTATTTTACAGGATTTAATAACTGGCCGTAAGTCTGGGCTTGTTAAGCAAGAATTCGAATTAACTGTATCTCTGTGCCAAACTCGACTTTTCGAACCAATATGAACCGCGATACGCACTAGACATTCAGATTAAATAGCTGTCTATATTTCTGAAATAAAGTATTGTAATTATTTACACTGTTCCACAACTTTATTGCTATATTCACGACATTTCAGCAGTTGTACACTCCGGCCTTCTTCGGATGATATACGTTGGAATTTCGAACAGAAGAGGGAACAAAAACTTGGAGAATCGACTTACTAAGGGAAAATAACCGAAAATGAGATATCTAAAGGCATGGCACGTGGAATTAGAACAATCTATCACCGTGGACTAAATAAAGGGTTCAGTTCGAAATTCCAACATATATGACTTGCAGAAGACTGAAGTTTACAATGGCCGAAACGTCGTGAATATGGCAATAAAAATGAAGACAACAGTCCGAACGGTGCAAATAGTGTAAATATTCAGGTTGAAGTTTTGATATCTTAATAATGTTCTCCATGTCTCAAGACAATTCAGGAGTTGTGTAGACTTCAAACACTGTCTTCCCTTTATATTATTCCTCATCACTCACACCTGTATTTTCTATTTCCTTCTGCACTTTACATATTATAAAGAGTTGTCTGGAGTTCTGAAGTCCGTGTATTATTCGAACGAATATATCTCTTTTTACTGTTTTCGATCTAAATTTTAGCTGTTTTCTTCAAGCATTTTCCTGTGACTGTAGTCAGTTACACTTCATGCAAAAAACGATATAAATAGGTTCAATCATTTTATTAAACGTCCTTCAATTAACTAGAAAGTTATATTTGAAATAAAGAAAAGAGTGTTGAACTGCTATGTAATACCAAGCCTAAGCCTCCTATATAACATTGAGCTCTGGACATTATCACATATGACAAGGAAACTTGAAACAACAAAGTTGTCGTTCTGTAGAAAATACCATAGACGGAACATGTGAGAAACGACGAAATTTTAAAGAAAATGGGAACGAAATGGATAGTTGTATTTATAAAAAGCTGACATTTCTGGAACATATGATAATGAAGGAGGGCTTGGAAATTTTGACACCCACGGAACATACTGAAGGCAAAAGGATAAAAGAGAAAAAGCATGTGAATTACCTAAAGAGCAAATGGATGGCAGAACAGGAACGAGGTGTTTAAGTACGGGAACATATTGCTCAGATTTACAATGACAGGATGTTGTGGAGAAACGCTAACGTCCTCAAGGTAACCGGTACATAAAGGAAAGCATATGATATGTTCAGTCTAACGGCTGGGGAAATTTGCCAAATTAACTGACAATCAAAGATCACTTAGTGATGAACACTCTGGGACAGCGTTACTCAAACTTTTTTACCTTTTTGGAAATCATGGAATAGTTTTCGTGTCTCAAGGAAACCTAGCATAGAAATTATTATATACCATCCCTTTTATATTTGTATCGTCAGTCAAGTGGCAAACATAATATATGGACGTCGCGCATGCGTCCTTTATTCCAGTGAGTCACTCAATGTCTAATAAACAAATCCATTAATTACTCAAAAACCATCACTGTAGAAACGTTTTCACGGTGTGTTTTATTTCGTACGCCACTATTTTAAATACAAAATGCCCGGATAAATATTTGGATATTAAGTGATATTATTTATGGTGATAACTTCTAAAGTTCATGCAAAAAAAGTAAAAAATAAAAAAATAAAAAAAATATTCGCCAAAACCTCAAAATTTAAAAATATTTTCATCTCCCAGGTGGGAAATATAATTATTTGTATCTATATCATTTTTATAAATAATCACTTTAAGAACCTCCACAGGACTTGTACCAGTCAGTACCTCATAATATTAGTAGAGATGTAACATATACATACATACATACACACAATATATATATATATATATATATATATATATATATATATATATATATATATATATATATATATATATACAGAGGGAGAGAGATAATTAATTCAAGTAAAATGTTTGTCACTTAGCTGATTGATGTTATCTTCAACATCCCGACTCCAGAGTTTCGTAGACGGACCCTCCGGGAATCACTCTGTCCACTCGTCAAGAGGTATCAATATATAAAAGTTGACATTGAGGTTAATAATGAGTAGCGATAGACTATTTCCTGGCTGATCGCAATCTTAAGATTGTTTTCAAGCATGAAACAGACTGTAGCCAATCGGTTTTTATCTTAACGTCTACTTTTTATACTTATATACGCTCTATCCTTGATATTGAGCACTGTTATTCATAAATATAGCATACCTGAAAACTACATTTTTATCATATATATATATATATATATATATATATATATATATATATATGTGCCAGGATGTAGACAACAAAACCGAGTCTGTATCAACCAGTGAAACAACCGACTTCAGAATATCTTTCACCAGTTCACCAGAGGAGGGTTTATTTGATATACTTACTCCTAAATAATAATAAAATGTATACATGCTTTTCCGGCGCAGTATAGCTCCATGTAACTGTTTTACACATGACATCACTTTGGATTAATTTGAATATACAGTGTTTTATGGGAAAGTTGTAGGAGGGTGGAAAATAATTCAACACCCTTTCCCTCTCCATTTAAACTTCCTACTCAAAGTGAAATTAATAAGTCGGTAAGCTGGTTCATTTTTAGTGTGCCTTTGAAGTGGGTAAAGTGTCAAGTTGTTCCTTAAAATTCAGTTTATAATGATTACATCTAAAAATTTATCGCGATATTTTAATTTCTTTAAGAGCTGGAAAATCATTGGTTTGAGCAAATAAAACCACAGAGCTAACACACGTTGTTGTTGTATGTTCATTAGGTTATTATATCAAGTTTAGTGGTGATATCTTTTACAAAGTCTTTAATCGTTTGTCGTAATGACAGACGACAATATTCGGCCATTTTTTCTCCTCCTTATCAGTAATAGAAACGCGATGGTTACAAAGTCAGTTTTATAAAGAACTGCTAACGAGTTCAGTGTTTTTTCCCTCCAATATTTTGACCTCACATCGGTTGAGGCTAAGCTTATAAAATACAGGGTGATTGAAAAGTAACTCCTTATTTTATATATGATGGTCTCTCCAGTCTTGTAAAAATTCTAGATAAGACGGGAGAGGCCATCTTACATATAATAAGGAGTTACTTTTCAATCCCGCTGTAGTTACAACTAACTTAAAGCACGCAGAAAAAAAATTCCCAAATACACACATGCAAGCAAGATATGTTTTTTTATATTTATTGGAATGTGTAAATTGCTTAATGGTTATTGACACGGAAGATGGAATCGACGTGGCGAGTTCAAATCCTTTCCTAGTTTGTAACTTTAACTTCGTACTAATGATCTTGGTAAAAACATAAATCCATCTCTTCTCTCCCTAGTTACGTGTTAAAAAGTAGTGTAGAATCGGATCTCTTTCTCTGGGGTGGGGCGAAGCCGTTTCAGAACAAGGAAAACTGTGTTCAAACCATTTTTCTTTCCGGAGGGGGTCATGTGTATCTACGTGTAGCGTCTATATGGATGTGCGAGTGGACGGAGTGATTCCCGGAGGGTCCGTCTACGCGTAGCATAACATTTATTGACGCGGAAAGTGGAATCGGCGAGCCGAGTTGAAATTCGGCCTTGTCTGTGGCGTCCAGTTTAGCAATTCTGCCCTTAGGAAAGGCGTGGATACGTATATTTTTCTCCTAGCTATGGGTTAAATAGCAGAGTATACTGGGCACCCTAAACTTCGATGAATGTCATTCTAAGAGAAGGTTAACTGAATTCAAAAGATTAAAAATTGAATTCGTGGCGGTTTAAAATACATATCCATTTAATCAATTAACTTTCGAACTAAAGAATCAAAATTACATATGGTCTTTGATTTTACTAGGTTTTATTGAAATTAAAAGCAAGAATCTTTTTATCTTAGCCCAATCGGTTTGAAATTCAGAGTTGTCTTCGACTTAAACAATCAGGCATTTCAATATTTTTTAGAGTATAGGGTAGAGGGTTTTAAAAACCG